CAATAACTCAACATTCATGTAGCTAGTTCAACTGAGATCCTCTGCTCAATGTGTAGCAGCCCTCAAAAAAGGAAACCACTTGGCATGCATAAGAAATTGGACGAAGAATACTGCAAAGTTTCTACTGCCATTATTTAAATCCTAGTATGCGCTTATCTGAAATAACAAGTTCAGATTTGGTTAGCAGGTATCAAACAGTATTTTGCATAAATAAAGAAGGTTCAAGCGTGACAACAAGGAACTACGAGGGACCAACAACTTCTGGAGGAGGAGAAATCGAAAAGCTAGGGTCTAATTTCTTTAGAGAAGACACTTGATAAAAGCAGAGCAAACAACGAACAGTATACCAATGCCACAGTACTAGTCTCCTTTGTATTTCCCAGAACACAGGCACAAGACGACAGCTAAGGAAACAAAGGCAGAATATTTCAATTAATGAAAATGCACAAAGAATACACTTTTTGGCTACAGACGAGATAGTTAGTCTCTAGACTTTCTGCCAAAAGATGATATTGATGCCAAGAGTTTAGGAAGATTTTTAAAAATTGGACATGTATATAGATGAGAACATGCTGTCATAATAAAATGTATACCTTATCTGAATCACATCTCACCTAGATATTCCTAGATGTAATTGGTGGAACACAGTCAAAAATTCCGTTGACGTACAAATATATGTAACCCATGTCACACTCTTTGATCTCTGCTAGCAAAGCTGGGTAATAAAAGTTCAAAAATAGCTGAAAATGATTTTTGTCACTAAAGTCAGGGTGTCTACCTATAAATACACACAAAGAACAAGTTGATTGAGTAAGATGGTGAACATTTACATAGATATTTTTCAGAACGGAACCACATTTGTTATGTACTTGTTTGTAATATGTATCCCCATTCTAGGTCAGAGTCTACTGCAAGAATCTGGTAGCAAGAAAAACATATTGGCTACGTCTACACTGGTATGATTTTGCGCAAATACTTTTAACACAAGAGTTTTTGCGTTAAAGTATTTGTGCAAGAGAGCGTTTACACTGGCATGTGCCTTTGCGCAAGAGATGTGCTTTTGTGCAAAAGCATCCGTGCCAGTGTAGATGCTCTCTTGTGCAAGAAAGCTCTGATGGCCATTTTAGCCATCGGGCTTTCTTGCGCAAGAAATTCATGTTGCCTGTCTACACTGGCCTCTTGAACAAGAACAGTTGCGCAAGAGGGCTTATCCCTGAGCGAGAGCATCAGAGTATTTGTGCAAGAAGCCCTGATTTCCTACATTAGAACGTCAGTGTTCTTGTGCAAGTACTCGTGGCCAGTGTAGACAGGTGGCAAGATTTGGCGCAAAAGCAGCTGCTTTTGCACAAAATCTTGCCAATGTAGACACAGCCATTGAGGCGTGTCTTCTGTTTGCTATTTATAATTTTCTCACTTCTACCTGTCAGAATTCTGTCCAGACCTTATAGTTGTTCCTGTGGCAGGTACTGTTTTCAGGTGTTTTGAGAGCACTGAAGCCACAAAAGTGTTAGGAAGAGTATGATAACTCTCTGGACCACTCCTGGCACAACCTCAGGAGATCTGATCTGAGAGGGGAGAAAGAGAACCATTGTTGCTGAATCAGAAATATACTCAGGTTTAAGAAACCAGGGTCTTCTCAGACGCATGGTTTCCATATCCGGGTACAATTCCCAAGGGCTCCAAGGTATGCTAACTACGTGAGATTCCATTCTAAATGTTTCAAAGGACACGTTTCTTGCTTCATAAACCTAGTGGAATGAACTTGGCTGATATGGCAGCCTTCTGATGGAGCTGGCCATCATGGATACATTATATGGTCACATACCATTAGTTAATCATTTAAACAGAGACGAGAGATGGAAATGGGGCCATGAGAGTCTGACAAGTTCTACAGATTTGCTGACTCCCCTGTTTGGAGAAAGAGAGACTGGCAACCAAACAGCCAAGAGAAAACCACATTAGAAGCAGGAAGACTGCCAAAGAATCAGCATGCACACTCGACAACTGGGGATAAAGAAGCACTTAAGGAGGACAAGGCCCTTGTAGAAAGGATATACGAACTGTCTGCATCAGCCCTCGCGGCAGAGGATGTAAGGAAGATTACCACACCTGCACAATTGTTCTAGGTGTAAAGTCTCAGCAATTGTCCCAGACTGAGTTGTTAATAGAGGAAGTTCCCGAACAAATCGATAACCCAAACACAGCAAGAAGTCAGCAGGACCAGATGGCATTCACCCAAGAGTTCTGAAACTGCAGACTCACTGTGGGGGTGTGTACCCCACTGCTTAAACAAACTTCTGTACCAGATGACTGGAGGATCGCTGATATAACACTGATTATTTTTAAAAGGCCCCAGGAGCGATAATCACAGTTAAAGGCTAGGAAGCCTAACTTTACTACCAGGCAAACTGCTTGAAACTCCATGAAAGAACAGACTTAGCGGTCACACAGATGAACACAAACTGTTGGGGAAGAGTCGCCATGACCTTTTGTAAAGGGAAATCCTGCCCTCCCCTCCCCCCAATCTACTAGAATTCTTTGAAGGTGTCAACCAATATGTGGACACGGGTGACCCAGGGAATACAGTGCAACTGGACATTCAGAAAGTCTATGACAAGATCCCTCACCGAAGGGCATAGGAAACAAAGGTAGGAATACATGGTCATTTTTCACAATGGAGAGAGAGAGGATCTGTTCAGGGACCACTGCTGTTGAACATATTCATAAATGATCTGGAAAAAAAAGGTAAACTGGGTAGGTGGAAGATAGCTAATATGACACCTATTTTCAAAAAGGGCACTAGAGGTGATCCTGGCAATTACAGACCCTTATGTCTAACTTCAGTAATGGGCAAAGTGGTTGAAACACTAGTAAAAGAAAAGAATGGTCAGACACACAGATGAACATAGTTTGTTGGGGGAGAGTCAACATGGTTTCTGTAAAGGGAAATCATGCCTCACCAATCTACCAAAGTTCTTTGAGGTGGTCAACAAGCATGCGGACAAGGGGGATCCAGTGGATATAGTGTACTTGGATTTCCAGAAAGCCTTTGGCAAGGTCCCTCACCAAAGGCTCTTAAACAAAATAAACTGCCATGGGATAACTGGGAAGGGCCTCTCATGGACTGATAATGGGTTAAAAAGCAGGAAACAAAAGGTAGAGATAAATGGTCAGTTTTCAGAATGGAGGGAGGTAGCTAGTGGTATCCACTGAGGGTCTGTACTGGGACTGACCCTATTAAACATATTTATATATTATCTGGAGAAAGGAAAACAAAAAAATTTGCAGATGATACCAAACTGCTCAAGATCACTAAGTCAAAAGCAAACTGTGAAGAGCTTCAAAAAGATCTCACAACATTAGGTGACTGGCCAACAAAATGGCAGATGAATGTTAGTGTTGATAAATGCAAAGTAATGCATGTTGGAAAACGTAATCCCAACTGTATGTACAACATGATGGGGACTAATTCAGCTACAACTACCCAAGAGGGAGATCTTGGAGTCATTGTGGGTGGCTCTCTGAAAACATCCACGCAGTGCGCAGCGGCAGGCAAACAGCAAACAGAATGTCGTGAATCATTTAAAAAGGGATAAAGAAAAAGACAGAGAACATCTTCTTACTTTTATATAAATCCATGGGACACCCACATCCTGATATTGCGCACAGGTATGGTCGCCTCATCTCCAAAAAGATCTCTTGGCATTGGAAAAAGTTCAGAGAAGGGCAACAAAAATGGTCAGCGGTTTGGCTGCCATATGATGACAGATGAATAAAACAGGGACTTTTCAGTTTAGAAACGAGCTGACTAAAGAGGGATATGATGGACGCCAATGAAATCATGACAGGTTTGGAGTAGGGATGTAATAAGGCAGTTGATGAACCGATAAGCAAAAGCTTGTAGGTTAATGCTACAGACCACACGCATTCTCCTCCCCCACTTTGCAAGGACATTTTTTAGCAGGCTGGCCAGCAGCCCAGCTCAGTCCTGGCTCATGCCAGGTCCGGGACCTATCCCCACTGCTGCTCTGTATTTAACGTGTATTAGGAGCTGGGCGGGCAGGCAGCCCGGCTCATTTTCAGCTTGCGCTGGGTCCCGTGAGGCGAGCTGGTTTTTAAACGGGTTCCCCTTGCCGCCGGCTCTGATAAGAATTTGTGAGGTTACCTGACTATTCAATTAAGCGATATTGAACATCCCTAGTTTGGAGAAGGTAAATAAGGATCACCGTACTTGGCAAGCCTATAACCCATGTTACCCACATGAATAATATTCATCTACAATTAGGCAACAGGAGTGAAAGCCAAAACCGTACTGAGGCTAAAAATAGAAAGAGGTATGTTCATGGAGCACAGGTCCATCAATGGCCATTACCCAGAATGGTCTGGGATGCAGCCCCATGGGGGCGAGGCTCTGACTGCCCGAAGCTGGGCTTGGATGCCTGGGGACGGGACACTCAAGAACTGCTCTGCTTTCTTCATTCCCTCTGAAGCATCTGGCCCCAGCCACTCCAGGGAGGTAGCTCCTGGGTTATCTGTCCCACTACGGCCATTCTTATGCGCCTTATGTTCTCTGGCTGAGAAAATGACGGCTCAGGTGTCTAGCTCGCAGCCAGGAAAGTCTCTCTCATTAAATAAATGTCTGAGCAATGCTCCACTTCTCGTTTAATCGCACACACGGAAGGGGATTTAAAATCAGCCCCTGGACTCTGAGGTGCTGAGATATTTGTAGGGATCTGTCATGACCATGAGGGTCAGCCAACAGCCTAGAGACTAAGGGGTTAACTATGTCCCTTACCTAAGACAGGTAGAGACAGCCAATAAAAATGCAGATAGGGATTTCAAACTGGGACAAAGGATTTTTGAGGTTTTTCCCTCCTTTGTCCTGGGGCAGTTTCTCTCCAGCTACCGAGGGGGAAGTTTTATACCAAAGCCTGGAAAGATGAGGCTTTGGGGTACTTTTGCAGGCCCCCACTTCTGCATTTATTGTTTCAGAGTGGGGAAGGAGCCTTGACATGGTGGCAGCAGTGGGATTATTTTGAGAACCCAGGATTTTAAAAGGACACTGGCTTTCTTTTGAGTTGCAAGCTTTAACAGTTTTTTCCCTCGTTTTTGTTTTGTTTTGTTTTCTGTGCTGCCTTGGGAAGAGGCAGACAGAAGGTTAACCATAAGCCAGACACAGACCATCCAATCCAACCAGTTTGTTTTGTTCTAGCTTTTGGGACAACTGGATAGCTAGAATAGAATAGGGAAGGGAAGGGAAGGGAAGGGAAGGGAAGGGAAGGGAAGGGAAGGGAAGGAGCCGAGTACATGCTTTTGCGATCAGGCAAAGTAGCCCTAGAGAAACCAGCCCTTCCCAAGCAACACCCTGAGGTAGAAACTGCCTCTGAGCAAGGCAAGATGTCCAGCTCTGGGGAGGGGAAACAGGAGCATGTCCCTGTGAGTCCAGGGGGAAGTAAGCTTGAGGGGGCAGGAGGGATTATGCTTTAAAGGCAGGCAGTCCTCTGAGAAAGAGATGGAGTTTCTCTTCCACATGGAGCGTGCACAACGAGAGGCCGAGGCTGAAGACAAGCAGGCACAACGAGAGGCCGAGGCTGAAGACAAGCAGGCACAACGAGAGGCCGAGGCTGAAGACAAGCAGGCACAACGAGAGGCCGAGGCTGAAGACAAGCAGGCACAACGAGAGGCCGAGGCTGAAGACAAGCAGGCACAACGAGAGGCCGAGGCTGAAGACAAGCAGGCACAACGAGAGGCCGAGGCTGAAGACAAGCAGGCACAACGAGAGGCCGAGGCTGAAGACAAGCAGGCACAACGAGAGGCCGAGGCTGAAGACAAGCAGGCACAACGAGAGGCCGAGGCTGAAGACAAGCAGGCACAACGAGAGGCCGAGGCTGAAGACAAGCAGGCACAACGAGAGGCCGAGGCTGAAGCCCTTCCCAAGCAACACCCTGAGGTAGAAACTGCCTCTGAGCAAGGCAAGATGTCCAGCTCTGGGGAGGGGAAACAGGAGCATGTCCCTGTGAGTCCAGGGGGAAGTAAGCTTGAGGGGGCAGGAGGGATTATGCTTTAAAGGCAGGCAGTCCTCTGAGAAAGAGATGGAGTTTCTCTTCCACATGGAGCGTGCACAACGAGAGGCCGAGGCTGAAGACAAGCACGCACAACGAGAGGCCGAGGCTGAAGACAAACACGCACAACGAGAAGCCAAGGCTGAAGACAAGCACGCACAACGAGAGGCTGAGGCTGAAGACAAGCGTGCACAACGAGAGTCCGAGGCTGAAGACAAGCGTGCACAACGAGAGGCCGAGGCTGAAGACAAGCACGCACAACGAGAGGCCGAGCCTAAAGACAAGCGTGCACAACGAGAGGCCGAGGCCAAA